CATAGCTTTATTGTATTTGGTAACTGGATAGGCCCTCTGCTTATTTTTTTTTTTTTTTTCATAGTTTCCAGCTAGGTGAAAAAGTTTTTCAGAATAAGAACTATAAATTGAAAAATCTAGTAATAAAATTACCAAAATGATAAAATACTGAAATGGTCATTGTAAAAGCAACCAAAAAGAAGACAAGCTAAAACATGAAAAATAGTACTGTATATGTCAATGGCCTCAAACTTGTTTGCATAACCCCTACAGCAACTTTTAAAACTATGTCTCCTCGCATGCCTTTACTCCGACACCTATATTTTTTAAATCATACATGTAAGTCATTGAAATGATGCAATGTCCAGTGTATTGTGTATTGCATATACTGGAAGTATTTTTTTATCATTAATATAATATCTCATTCAACCAGCGGAGAGTATCTGCTATGTAACTGAAAGGACAAAGCCAGTCTTCACTGTCTAACTAATAAGCCAAAACAAACTTACAGTTAGTGTCCAAAAAAAGTCTGACTTTGACTTGAAAATGGGAGTGTGAATATGAATTCCCGTGAGAATAATCTCACTCCTAAATTCCGGCTCTAAGACAGAGAGTTGTTTTGAGTCTCCGACCTGGATGAAAAAGGCGCCGCCCTCTAGCATTTGTGCCACAGCTGGCTCTGCTCTTGTCCTTGTGGACATCTTTCTCAGCAGGTGTCCATTGCTTGAATTAGCCAAATGTCAGCCAGAAGACTTTTTGCAGCCTAGAGCAAAACAGGAGTAAGATTCAGAAAGGGGTCGGGTGCGGTGGCTCAAGCCTGTAATCCCAGCACTTTGGGAGGCCGAGGCGGGTGGATCACGAGGTCAAGAGATCGAGACCATCCCGGTCAACATAGTGAAACCCCGTCTCTACTAAAAATACAAAAAATTAGCTGGGCATGGTGGTGCGTGCCTGTAATCCCAGCTACTCAGGAGGCTGAGGCAGGAGAATTGCCTGAACCCGGGAGGCGGAGGTTGCGGTGAGCCGAGATCGCGCCATTGCACTCCAGCCTGGGAAAAAAGAGCGAAACTCTGTCTCAAAAAAAAAAAAAAAAAAAAAAAAAAAAGATTCAGAAAGGGTGAGAAGTACTCCCACATTTTGTACACCAGGACAAAGTTAAACATAAGGAGAGGTGAGAAAGGAGAACCAGCAGACCACAGGCTGTTTTCAGGCAGTTTCATTTTAGGAAGGAGTACATATGGAATTTAAAGACCTGGAAATCAGTTCCCTTAGAATTATCCCAGTCCGCACACCTCCTTGAAAGCCTTCATGCACGCTTAGGTTGTGTATTCACGGTATGATGGTGCACGCAGCTACCTTTTATGTACACCCAGTGTTGAGACTCCTGGAATAGTCTAAGTATTATTTTAAACTTCGATGTGGCATGGTGGCTCATGCCTGTAATCCCAGAGCTTCAGGAGGCCAAGATAGGAGGACTGCTTGAGGTCAGGAGTTTGAGACCAGTGTGGGCTATATAGCGAGATCCTTATCTCTACAAATAAAAAAATAAAGTTAAATTTGCTGAGCATGGTGATGCACACCTGTGGTTGCAGCTGCCAGAGGGGCTGAGGCAGGAGGGTTACTTGATGCCCAGGAATTCAAGGCTGCAGTGAACTATGATTGCACCACTGGATGACAGAATGAGACCCTGTTTCTATAAAAAATAAAACAAAAACTCAAAGAAAATGTTTACAAAGATGACTATGATGACAGCCTTTTCTAGCTATAGGAATTACTAGATGTTCAAAGAATGTGTTTCAGTATGGGTCTAAAACTGTGCGTAAAAATTTTTGTTTAATCTCCCAAAGTAAATGAATGAACTGTTGGGAAGAGGAGTAGAGCTATGCCCTAGATAATAAAATAGGAAAAATCCTGAGCATTAATCCTGAAAGTTGAGGCATGATAGCTAATGCCAGATTGCCATCAATAAAGGACACACCTTCTCATTGTCAGGAGGCGGTGACAGGGGGTGTATTTGTTATCCCAGATGCTCATATGATGGAGAGAACCGAAAACCTGAAGCCAAGAGGATGGACTGGAAAACCACACAACGCCAGAATCCCAGAAAGGTTGCACTGTCAGAGGCTCGAACTGGGAAGTAGTAGGGAGAAGGCGGCAGGAAGGAGGGTTCTAGAGAAACAATGAAGAAACTTATTTACCGTCTTTAGATCTAAAAAAAAAAAAAAAAAAAAAACTAAAAATTGGGGGTGGGAATTTTTGGAGAATATCTAACCACAAGTTTGTTACCGCATGGGCTGGGGCCAAGGGGGGCCATGAGTGGGGTTATTTATTCTCCAATAAATCTAAGGTAAATATTTTGTTAAAAATATGCCCAGGTGTGATAGAAGCATTCTGAAACTGGAATGAAGTAATACACAACTGTGTACAACTCTGTAAATTTACTACAACACAGACTGTACACTTAAAATGGGAACATTATAGCATATAAATTACACTTCAGTAAAACAGAGAGTAAGGGAGCATGCCTGTTGGATTCCTCATCTTAATCACATATCCACCAAAAGTTTTTTTCTGTAACTGTATAAGCAAAAAATGCCCTTCACAAATAGTATTTCCACTGATCACAGAGAATGAAAAAGAGAAACCCCAGAAAAGAAAAGCAGAATGAAAAGAGGAGAAAATTTATCTGGGCCCATAAGTCTCCGGCTATATTTGAATTGTCTTTCAACGTGATCTAAATAACCTTGACACAACAAGCCAGGTCAAATCGACATAACTCCATTACCATCCCGCTCATGCTATGATTCTTCAGGGGGAAAAAAGTTTGTTAGAGGTGATAATGGCCTTGGGATAAATAGAAGAGCAAGAACAAACATAAAACAACACATCCTTTTGTCTTTTCAGCGAGAGATGGAATGAGTGTGTGCGGTACCTTCCATGTGTCGTAACTTAAGGTATGTTTTGCTCTGGTTTCTGGAAATAGGATCCATCTGCTTAACAAAGTCACCCCTCACTGGTAGCTCCTTTCTTTTTTATAGCACTAACATGTGTTTATTTGCACTTTTATATTTTCTCTTTCAATGGAATTTTGGAAGAAAATACGACATGAATGCATATGCTCAGTCTGCCATCTGGAATGGAGGCATCTGTGTGTGTATGGATTCAGAAACATTTTTATTATGAGATAAAGATACACACATAACGAGCCAGCCTCAGTGGCTCATGCCTCTTATCCTAGCACTTTCGGAGACAGAGGTTGGCAGATCACTTGAGGCCAAGAGTTCGAGACCAGCCTGGCCAACATGGCAAAACCTTGTCTCTACTAAAAATACAAAAATACAAAAAAAAAAAAAAAAAAAAAAAAAAAATTAACCAGGCATGTTGGTGGGCACCTATAATCTCAGCTACTAGGGAGGCTAAGGCTGGAGAATCGCTTGAACCCAGGAAACGAAGTTTTCAATGAGCCTAGACCATGCAACTGTACTCCAGCCTGGGCGACAGTATGAAACTCTGTCTCAAAAAAAATAAAATAAAATAAAACAAACAAACAAAAAATATATATACACATAATGGCAAATACAAAGACATACAAAGAAATAAGTTCAACCCAAAATTCACTACTATATTATAAAAAATGTTAAGATGTTGGTGAACTCACTTCCAGTGCTTCTAATGCATGTACGTAAAATTTTCACAGAAAATTAGAATCATAGCATATATTTAGTCTTGTACTATGTTTTTAAAACTCATATTCTGTGAGGTGTACTTCATACCCTTGAAAAACATGATTTTATAAAGATGGCTACAGAGTACTCCATCTGCACATACTTCTTAGGAATTAATGATCAGTTTATTTTTATTAATGTATTTATTTCCTAAAAAGGTACTACACTCACATGATTCAGTGCAGTGAAAATTCTCTTTCCCATCTCTCACTCCCAGTGACCTAGTTTCTCTTCCTGAAAGTCCACAGACAATACCTGGGTATTTGGTAAAGATAAAGATGGAATTGGGTCAGAGGTTATATCCCTTTCTAACTCCTGATACATATTTCTTCTCCGGAAATGCATAATTTACACCCCCACCCTCATGTGAAGGCATTCCTTTAAAAAAAAAAAAAAAAAAAAAAGACTCAATTTGCAAGGCAAGAAGTGTTTTAATATGCATCTCTTTGGCCCTAAGATCAAAGAAATTGTCCACCCGTGGGCAGGCTGCACCATCAGGGGCCCATTACCTGACGTTTCTCCGCCTCAGTCCACTCTCAAGTGCCTCTCCTGCAGGCTGGCTATGGACCCTGGAGGCACCCGCACTGTCAGGAATGTGCCTGCCTTCTCCCTCAAAAGCCCTGCAGCTCCTTAGAGCCCCACAGATCGGTGTCGCTGGGTGGCGACAGCTGACCTGAAACCAATGCACACACACTTACCCACTTACCTTCCCACACGCCTCGCTTAGCTTGCCACTGCTCCCTCACTGCCTAAAGCACACAGGTAACTGCTGTCACTGAAAACACAGTCGAGGGTCTCCCCTGCACCTGCTTTTCCAAGCTTAAACGGCCTGTCTGTTTCTTCTGTCACCCAAATAAAGAATAAACGTGCAGTTCCTCTACCCAGGCCTGTCCCAGATACAGGCTGGCTAAAGCTGCTCTTCGCCCCTCACCACTTTCCCTGTCCCACCCAGCCCGGGGATGAATTCCAAAACTAATCGCATCCTGACTCCCTGTTTTTCTTTCAACATCCCATAATTTATTGACATTTCTGCTTCTCATTCCTCCCAGAAAAGTTCACCCTGTTATTACAAGCATCTCAGTGGTGACTTGTGCTTATGTGAAATCTTTTACTGATTTATTAATAAATGTTTATCCTTTTTGCTCTTGACAGATATGCCATCGCTGTATCTTCTGGATCTCTGTACACCCAGAGCTTAATATATCTTGATTAGGTCAGAGTGCCTGGTGACTATCTTCATGTCTCATCTCGTTAGAGCAAACTTCCTCGCCCTCTTCTCATAGGTCGCCTGACAGCGCCGCACCCTCTCCCGCCCTGCCTGCACCCCACACACTTCCCGGAGACTCCGGATCCCACGCCCACGTTCCTTACCTCCAAGGGGCAAGGAAGCTGCTGACTTCGGATCCCAAGTGGAGCAATCAGGTGTTGCTGGAAAACCCCGGGCTGCAGGCCCCAGACGCACGACCTGGCCCCTCCCCCATGGACGCGTGCAGTGCTCTTTGTTCTCTACCTCTAGGGTTCCCAACCTCGGGGTTGTGCCTTTCAAATACCTGGGAAACTTTTCTAGCTGATGCCTAGGCCCCTCCCAACCCAGAAATTCCCATCTAATAATCTGGGGTGCAGCCTGCGCATTGAAACGTTAAGCCTAAGAGAAATCCCGGCGCATGTATCCAGTCTCCGCCATCGAATTTCCAGCTTCTTAAATCTGAAGGTTCAGAAAAAGAAGATAAGAATGCCGCCCACGTGGCGCGCTGGGGCCACAGCCGGTCCCACCCCCGGCGCTGCCGCGGCTGTCCCGCCCTTGGACTCGGGCTAGGGCGGCGCCTGGATAAACACCTGAATCTCTCCTGAGCTCCGAGCCCAGGACGCGGGTGCCAGGGACGGACGACGCCGGCTTCTCCGCGGGCAGCCAGGGAGAGTGTCCTGGGTGAGTTGCGGAGGTCGTTGGTCTCGGGTGCTGGCTCCCCCCCGGAGGAGGTCGCGCTGGCCGGGGTCGGGCGAGGTGGCCCTTTGGGCTGGTTTCACGCTGGGGCGCGCGCGAGGGGGAGCGGGTCGCCCAGCCGCAGCCGGACCCACAGGCGAGTTAGTGAGAACGCAGCGCCTCCGGGGAGCGCATGGCTGCAGCGTCCCTGAAGCCCTGGCTCGGGTGGCTACAGCGAACGCAGACCCCGAGCGTCCCTCCCCACCCGGAGCAGAGGGCAGGATGCCTCCCTGGACCCTCTTCTTCGGCCCGTTCTGCCCAGGTTCCCTGCTCTCTGCTGCTCAGCGCCCGGGCCCTACCGGCCCCCTGTCGCCCCTTTCAGCCCAAGCTGTGATTGTCGGTCTGCCCACTCGTTTCCACCTGGTGCCCTCACCAGAGCAGATTTGCTGCCATGGCCTGGGAAGCCGAGGGCACCTGTTGACTGTTAGCCGAGTTGGCGCAGCTTTGGATTGGGTAGGCCGTGAGATTAGAGACACCGAAAAGCCTTCTGCCACGTTAAATTGTATACTCTTCGCAACATTCTGGGAAAGTCTTTACAGTAGAATGAAACTTTACATACACTCTTGTTTGTAAGTATACTACTAGAACCATATTTCATTGGTATAGACAGGGATTATTAATTCATATGCTTAGCAGGAAGTTCTAGCCATTAATTATTTTACTGTCATTATGTGCCTGGCACTGTTCTAGAAAGGCCTCCATGTTATGTCTGTGCCACATTATTATGGGAACTGAGGAGCAGAGGCGGAGACATGTAAGCTGGCAGGTGCTGAAATCCAAACAGCTCCTCTTGCACCCCCTCCCCAACCCCATGCACCCGGAAGAGGACTTTGTGCAGGGCAATGCCTACTTTTTTTTTTTTTAATTTGTTCAGAGGTTTCATACAAGCTAGTAGTGACCACATAATGCTCCTTAATACTTTACCTGTATTAACTAGTTTAACTCTCACAGCTCCTCTGTGTGGTAAGTGTTCCTGTGTACTATTGGAAACGCCCTTTTTAGAGGAGGAAACTGAGGCACAAGAGATTAAATCATTTCTACCAAAGTTGCAGGGAAAATCAGTGATATATCTGAAATTCCAACTCAAACTCTAATCTCTAGACCTCATTGCCTGTGTGGGTACCCAGCAGGCACCCTAAAGTGCAAATGGGGAGAGGGGTAACTCAGACTGACAAGCTCTTAGGAACCTAGAGAGCATCTGCCAAGACAGGGTTAAAAGATGGACATATTTTAGGTCTTGCATCAAGCCAGCATTGAGACAGTGGAATACTGAACCCTAGAATGTCTGGCATTAAGAGCTTTCATGTCACCCAGGTCAGTGTTGAGACATCTGGCCACTGCTGAGGTGCTGGAGCCCTGTGATGGGAAGTAGACCTCTGTCCCTCTGCATGAGTTCACATAGTGACATAAAAAGGAGTGTGGTGGTCTGAAAAAGTCCCCCTGGTGTGGATTGTCCAATGTTGGCAATGCCCAGGCTGCTGTCTGAGAAGGGTATCTAGGGTGTCCCATGACTATGTGCACAGTCTGACCCTCATCCTTGCAGATCCACAGGTACGGGCCCCACGACTGTGTATTTAAAATGAGAGTCCTCTTTCGGGACACCTTCTTTTCAAGTTCTGCAGTGATCATCCAAAAGTTACTCTGTGAACGTAAATCAGAGAGCCAAGATGGCAGAGAGTTGAGGTCCACATCATCCGCACAAGGATGTAAATTTCTTCATTTGACCAAAATGTCCACGTTCCTTAGAGCCAGCGTTCTTATTCTCTGGACAGCTCTGGACACACAGGCCAAACCCGCCTTAAAACAAACGATTTTGCGCCTCTGCCAGGAAAGCTACTGCTCAGTATCCCTACCTCCCACCGTCGTCATTTGGACATCCACTCAAAGGTCACTTTCCAGCAGACCTCTATTGCTTCCTCCCCCGAGCCCAGTCTGAACCAGCTCTCCTCTCATCCTCTCTATAGCACACTGCACTTTTCTTTACAGCAGTACAGCCTATAACGATGTATTTATTTGTTGAATACGTCTCTTCAACTAGATTACTTGGCTCACCTGCACAGAGATTTTGAGAGAGAATGGGGCTGTCCCCTCAGCCCCACTGCCTAGATAGAACCAGCACAGGGTGGATACTCAATAAACGTAACACATGAACCAACCTGGCCCGCAGCAGCTAACCGGCACCGGGACAAGCCACATACATCTTCTGTCAGATCCTCAGTCTCATCTGTACAACAAGCCAGGTGGGAACAACAGGCTGGGTCACATCAACTCTTGACATTTCCTAAGGGCATGACCATGTGCCAAGCCCTCCGATAGATGAATCTATCCATTTTTACTCATTAACAGTAACTAGGCTGACTTCAGCCAAACTCTAAAGTGAAGACCTGCTGTTTTTCCTTTACTCCCCTCCCCTCTCTTCACACCTGGGCCTTCGTCTGAGCCTCTCAATTGAACACCCCATTCAGAGAAGCCTCCCACCCCCAGCACCGTATGCCCTCTGCTAAATACGTCTTCTCTTCTCATCCTGGAGGAAATAAGACCTTCCCTTCTCTCTCAGCTAATCGTTAGTAAAGCATCTTATATACTCATTCACACTGAAGTGAGAGTAACCGGTAGCAGCGGTAAGCACTAAGCTCCGTGTGACTTTGTCTAGGGAAGGCCTTTTATTCATTCAGCAGACCTAGTGGATGCCTTCTTGGTGGGCAGCACTACAAATCTGAGAAATGTGATGACATCTATAAAGCACTGACTATACTCCAGGCATTGTAGTCACACGTGGAACATTCTCATTTCATGTGCAAAAACACCCTATGCCACAGGAACAGCATAGATGAGAAGATCAAGGCCCAAAAAGCCCAAGCGCCTCACCCACCCCCGACCCCCAACCCACCCCCGGCGGCCGGGAGTTCACAGGTAGGCAGAGGCAGTGCAGGCCAGGAGTCCAGGTCTGCCTTTCCTCTGACCTTCAGTCACACAAAGTGGTAAGTGGTGTGGAGCTGGCGGGGCGGGGACCTCAGAACCTGGGGACTGGCTATCTGGTGCTGATCACAAATCTGTCGGAAAAGGTCTAGCAGCTCTGGTTACTTCCTGTCAAATGCTTTCTACAAATAGGATTTTACATTTTCCTCTCAAATCTCAGATTTTAAATAGTAATGCAAAATTAAAGAAAAAGAATGCAAATGAGAAAGCACAGACATCAAAGGAGGGAAAAATAAAACCAGAGAGATAGTAATTATGTCATAAACATTGTAATGTGGTCAAGACTTTGAACATAAAATCAGCCAACACGACTCGTGATTATTATGAAGAAACACTACCTATGAGGAATAATGAACTTATTCTTTGTGTTAAGTTTGGGTGTGATGGTTGCAGTTCCTGGTTAACACACAGTTCTGTTGTGTACTGCACATAGCAGGCATGCAGATAACGTGCTGAGCTTGGGGCCAACTAAGAAAGTTGAACAAGTATTGTCTCTGTGGCTTTCTCCTCCCCCTTTCTGAATTCAGAGTCTGCTACCAGGAGAGCTGTTTAAATCACATATCTCAGTTACTTTCATTATTTCAGAAATGGGAGCTCTGTGAAGCAAGCGACTCGGAGGAAATGGACAGGTAAGTCTTCATGTGAACCTGTCTTTCTTCGCAGGTGCCAGCCAGAGCATGTCTTTCAACCTGCAGTCATCAAAGAAACTGTTCATTTTCTTAGGAAAATCACTGTTTAGTCTTCTGGAGGCTTTGATTTTGGCCTTACTCCCAAAGCCACGGAAGAACGTTGCTGGTGAAATAGTCCTCATCACAGGTGCCGGCAGTGGAGTTGGAAGGCTCTTAGCCTTGCGATTTGCCCGGCTGGGATCTGTGCTTGTTCTCTGGGATATCAATAAGAATGGGAACGAGGAAACACGTAAGATGGCTCAGGAAGCTGGGGCTACAAGAGTGCACGCCTATACCTGCGATTGCAGCCAAAAGGAAGAAGTGTATAGAGTAGCCGATCAGGTAACTCTTGCGTGTTTACTATTATGATTTGACATACATCACGTTCTTTTTCATTTGCCTTTCGCAGTGTCTATAAGCCTGTCCCTTTAATTTAAAAAAGATAATGGGAGAGTGGAAATCGGGATTTTTGAATTCTTCCTGTATGCAAGACACTGTACTACCTACCATATATATATCATAACCTTATAAAGTAAAACCCATTATTATCCCCATTTCACAAGTAAGGAGAGTGAAGCTTAGGGCAGGCATGTAGCTTACCTAAAAAGTACAGCTAGTAAGCAGAAAGACTACCCTTCCCCTTGCATCTATTGACACCCGAGTACCCGCTTCTAACATTACACTGCACTGACTGTGCTGGCCCCTATTACAGTGTAAGTTAATGGGGAGATAGAGGCATTCTTCTTTGAGGATAAAGAAATCGAGATACAGAGACATGAAATAACCTGTCCAGGGGTCACAGAGCTGGCACGTGACAGAGCCAGGATTTGAATCCATAGTCAGTCTGATTTTGCACTTAGACAGTGCCCACCCTACCACAGCACCCTATGTTTGAATGTGCATTACTCTTAAATAGTCATAAGAAAATCGGAATCTTTTATTCATCCTGAAGACTCAGCTACATTTGCTTGTGTGGTATTTCTACAGAGACACACGTAAAACTTTCAGGAAACCAAAGCTCCGACATGCGGAAGGTAAGGATTTTCTTACCATCGCAGAGGCATGTGGTGACCCTGCAAGGATTGTTATGTCCTCACATTGCCTTGGGTACTTCCCTCATCACTCTCCCGGGACGCTGTGTCTGTGCCTCCCAGAATTGCCCAATTTATGGAGAAGGGAGGAAGCAATCAAGCCTGCCGTGAGCAGCCTGACTGCATTGTAAAGTTCCTCCATAGTTTCTATGCCCAACCAGGATTCCCTTGCTAAGGTTTGCAGGTCCCTGGCAGGTGAGTTTTTGACTTTCAAGTTTGTCTTTACATTTTACATCTCCGCTACCACCGTCTCCAACCACAGGCTGCCCAGTATTTTGGGAGATCCACACCCAACAAGTTTGCTCAGGTCTATGCTGAGATTACTGTTCCAAGCACAGCTGATCTCACAAATCCAGCTACTTAGAAATTAAGCACTGATCACCTGGCACGTTGACTTACACTGACTACAATTTATCTGGCCAATCTTAAGCAATAACCGGTTGATATGCAAACAATGAAGACTGTCAGCTATGGAATAAACTAGTATAAAGCACTCTATAAATAAATACCTCCCTTTCCATTTCCCCTGTATCTGTGATTTAGTTCTGCCCCAGGTGTTTGGCTTCAGAAACAGCCAAACATGTCATATTACTCGCTCATTATTCGGTTTCTATCACGGTAGGATCTTGAAGGGAATTACTTATGTGCTCCTCTAAACTCAGGAGAAGGAAATTACTCCCCATCCTTATAAACCCACCATGTCCACTTTTTATTCAGGATAGAAGGAAGGTACCAGAGAATTTTTTAAGTAGGAGCCTGTAGATGAGCAATCAAAGAGAAAACTTTGAGAGTGATGTGACAGCGTTTTGTCTCTGCTGACTCTCCGATAACCTTGAGAGCTTGTGTCCCCAGGTCATAACTTAGCCTTGAGTTCAGAAAGTCCATCCTTGGAGAGAAGAAAACCAGCCAGTTGATGAAAACAGGACAGGCAGATTCTAGTCTGTGCTGTGTGTTTAAAACATATACAGTCATGCACCATATAATGACATTGTGGTCAGTGATGGCCCACACGTAAAACAGTGTTCCCACATTATGGGACAGACTGTTAGAGTATTTTTGCTGTCCCAGTGTTCTATGTTTAGACATGTTTAGATATGCAAATACTTCCCAGTGCGTTACAGTGGCCTTCAGTATTCAGTGTAGTAACGCACCGTACGGGTGGGTACCCTAGGAGCAACAGGCCCTACCAGATGGCCTAAGATGTGTAGTAGGCGCACCTCTAGGTGTGTTAAGTGCACTCTGTGATCTTCACACAGCGACCAAGTCACCTAACAAGGCACTTCTCAGAATGTATCTTTATTGTTAAGTGATTTATGGCTGCATTTTCTTTTTTCCTCCATTTATTCCCTAATCCAGCCCCTTCTCCATGTGTGTGAGGTCTTGATCTCTATCACACTTGGCTATAATGAAAGCATTCTTATGTCCCATCACATTGATCAAAATGAAATGTCACATACAAAGCACATAACAAAGTGAATAACCATTGAGTAGAAGAACAGCTCTAACTGTAAATGGAAAGTAGCATTTCGATGATAGAATTGTTTTAAGAAGAGAAAAATGGGAAAAGTCCATCGAAATTTGATCCCGGGCACACTGTAGACTCAGCAATGGAAATCAACCAAACTACTGATTGATTGATCGATTGACTGAGATGCGGTCTTGCTCTGTCACCCAGGCTGGAGTACAGTGGCGTGATCTCGGCTCACTGCAACCTCCACCTCCCGGGTTTAAGCGATTCTCCTGCCTCAGCCTCCCGAGTAACTGGGACTAGAGGCACGTGCCACCGTGCCTGGCTAAGTTTTTGCAATTTTAGTAGAGACAGGATTTTGCCGTGTTGTCCAGGCTGGTCTCAAACTCCTTCCTGTCCTCAAATGATTCACCTGCCTCAGCCTTTCAGAGTGCTAGAATCACAGGTGTGAGCCACTGCACCCAGCCCCAAACTGTATTTTTAGAGTGCATAAACTCAGGATGAATTAACCGGGATAAAAACAAAACTCAGGATGAATTAACCAGGATAAAAACAAAAACAAAAACAGAAACAAAAAACATAAAACCATGGGAAAATAAAACCTTGATCATATAAGGAATCACTACCTTGGTGGTGTTGCTCTTCTTCATTTCAGGTGAAAAAAGAAGTTGGTGATGTTTCCATCCTAATCAACAATGCCGGCATCGTAACAGGCAAAAAGTTCCTTGACTGTCCAGATGCGCTTATGGAAAAGACATTGGATGTGAATTTCAAAGCACATTTATGGGTAATGATTATTTCTTCTCATTATAAATGTAAAGTTACGCTGGCATTTAGATCTTTCCTCTGGCTCTTTCACAATATTATTAGCGTCTAAGTAAAGCACAGACTTCTCAATTTTGGACTTGTCCTGGTCTATGCAACTGTCCTCTCCTGATCCCACTTAATCTGCAGCCCCCAGAACCTCTGCTCAGGGAATCATCCTCCTGGTCCTACTACTATGTATTGATTAGCTGCAAATGTTAGAGACCACTCCAGGCGGCTCACATATTTTCAGTGAGATAAGGGATCATAAAACTTAAAAAGTTTTGCTCCAGGCTACATGGTGGGTAACTGCACTTAGACACGACAGGGTAGCTTTGTGATTTGCCTAAGCCAGGACACTTTTGAAACTGAAATGCAGCATTATTAATGAGCAAGTGTTAATCAGCGCTGCTACGGGCAAACCAAAACCTACAGTCACGTCCCTTAGTACCCAACCAGAGAAACAGGAGGTTCCACCAGTAGCTCTGGTTACCACCTGATGCCAGCACTAAAAGCACAGCCCTGACTTCCAAAGTTACCCACTCAATGCCAGAAGTCACCTTTTTCTGGCCTTTGCTGAGACCAGCCATCTTAGGCCTCTCCACACCACGCATGCACCTTGCTGCCTCTCCCGGATATATTTTTTTAAGTTTTATTTTTGTTTTATTATTTTATTTTAATTTTTTGAGACAGAGTCTCACTCTCTCTTCCAGGCTGGAGTGCAGTGGTATGATCTCAGCTCACTGCAACCTCTGCCTCCCAGATTCAAGCGATCCTCGTACCTCAGTCACCTGAGTAGCTGGGATTACAGGTGCACTCCACCACACCCAACTAATTTTTTTAACAGCGACAAGGTTTCGCCATGTTGGCCAGGCTTTGACAATTGAGACAACTGTCTTGAACCCTGGCCTCAAGTGATCCTCTTGCCTCGGCCTCCCACAGTGCTGGGATTGCAGGTGTGAGCCACCACACCCGACCTGGCTCTGTGTTCTTCTCCTTCTCTCTCTCTTCTAGATCTTCCTTAAATGCTGGTGTTTCCCTGGCTCCCACCAGCCCTCATGTCCTCTCCCTCCCTTTACTTTTTCTGGGCAAGTTTGTGTACACTTCTTTGAGTGTCTGCACATCGCCAGGCACAAAGACAGTGACTTAATTGCTAGAGCACCCGAGAGCTACCTGAAGGCAGGGCCCTCAAAGACGGTGTCCCTGCTGAGAAGTGCCTCCCAGATTGTTCTGCTGCACGGCTTCCTTTTGCTTTGTTTTGATTTCCCACCTGTCTCTACCTGTTAATTCCTCTCTGAGACTTATTGCAATGCAGGCAAACCAGTGAGGTTTGGCCTTTGTGAGAGATCCCTGTCTCACCCCCTTGTCTTTGGATGTGATTAGTTACTCCCTTGTTGCGGAAGATGTCTTCTTTAAAAAGCTTGTCTCTATCCCCTTTACCTCCTGTCTCCAGGCCCCCAATCAAGGGCGAAGGTGTTGGACAGTACACAGATGTGCCCTCTTTCTAATAGATATTCTGTTCTATGAAATGGAACAAAAATAAGAAACTTATTTTAAAAAGTAGTGGTGAGTTTAAAATAAAGCCTTCTTTTTAAAATGGAAGCCAACAGCTGGATGTCCTGTGAACAATATTCAGGGAAAATTTGAAACTCAGAATCAAGCTAAGGAGAGAGAAGGCAATCTAAATCTAAAGCATCATGTTTGTGAGGTTTGGGGCGGTGGCTGCTACAACAGACGTTTTCCCCTACTCCTTCCATTCTTGTCTTAGTATTGCGTTGTTAAAAGACAAATGTGAGCAAAAACATAAGTCTGAATAAATTATTTTAATAATACTGAAATTGCCATAGGGAAAAAAGCTGATTTAACAGGCTAAATAGGTTAAAATGATTACTTTCCAGATGTTTACGTGTTCATATCCCCATACCATCAGATACTTTTTGAGCTGAAAAAAAGATTTTTAAATCACATAATTACAGAAACATCTGAGAAAATTTGCAACGTGGCATTAAACGTTAAAAGTTTTCCTTTGTCTCCTCAGACTTATAAAGCCTTTCTACCTGCTATGATTGCAAATGACCATGGACATTTGGTTTGCATTTCAAGTTCAGCTGGATTAGTTGGAGTAAGTGGGCTGGCAGGTAAGAAAAACGTAGCAATTTACAATTGCAAAATTTCCTGTAACTTTAGCTTGCATAATAGCTCTGAATAATTAGCATTGACTCAATACCCTAATGATAAGGGAATATAAACTAACAAGTATAGTCAGTAAGTGGTTGAGAACTTCATCGTGCTGCAAAACTGCCCATCAAATAGACCTACGTGAAATGGACCGTGCCCTTTGGAATCATTAGGTCTTGCAGTCCCCTATGTTTGAAGGAGAGGCCTCACTGATAAACTTTTTGCACAAGCGATCAACATAACTGTCCCCCAAACTTGACACGGGCACTGTCACAGGATGGTAAGGAGGATGACCCTGTCTTCTCCTGAAGTTTCCTTCAAGTGGTCGCCCCACTGCTATGAGTTTGGATAAAGTTTCCTTCACCTCGAGAAACCTAAAGTTAACTGCTTTGCTTTTCCACTGGTGAAGACCTGCGGGAAGCGGGAGGCATTTTTATCTCCCTTGCAACAGCCAACTGACTTGACACTAGCAGGAGAGGGCAGAGAGGTCCTTCAAGACCCTCAACCAAGGAGGCCCAACTTGGGAGCTGGCTCTAGAAGGAACAGAAACCCTGACCTAACTGACCAGGGCATCCCCTAGAGCCAACTGTCCCAGATCCTGGCTTACAAGGACTGCCAAAACTCAGCCAACAGAGCTGTAGCAGCAACAGATAAGCCGGTTTGCCAGTTGGCTGCTTCCTAATGCTTTTGAGCAAAGTGGCATAGTTCAAGATTCCCAAAACCAGTCTTAGCTCCGCATGTCTATTACATGAATAGGTTTTTCAGAATCACCAGTCATCCCAAATATCACCAGTGTATCCTCCCTATGACCCAGGACTTCCCTTCTCTCTCCTTCCTAGAATTTATCAGATATCATTCTTACCTCTGTCTTATATGTATGTTATAAGTCACAGGCCTTTAAAATCATTCAGGTGTATTTACAGCTCCTGTCAATCCTTTTCAGACAGAATATTCCAGTCCTCAGTTACAAGACTTTCCCACCTGCAGCGCATCTTAGAAACAAGTGTATTTCCCACCATGTGAGTCTTGACTCCCCTGCATCAGAGCCACCAGGGCTGCTAGTTTAGCATGCAGATTCCTTGGGTTGTGGGCCGTATCTGCTCATCAGAATCTCAGGAGTCAAGGGACTCAGTGAGCTGCAGTCATACCTGATGACTCCAGTGACTCTAGAAGCTGCTCTGGACTCCTCCTCCCACTCCCCTGTCTCTAGCCTCTGACCCACTGTCTAGACAGCACTGCGACTGGACAACCCCATGCCTGGCACCTATAAACTGGCTCTTGCCAATTGCAGTAGCTGCACCATAACATAGCAAATTAAATATGCCTCTTCTGACTGTGAGGGACAAGGAAAGTGTTAATACTCCTCAATGCCACTTCTTCTCCAAACTTTTTTTTTTTTTTTTTTTGAGGCAGAGTTTTGCTTTTGTTGCCCAGGCTGGAGTGCGATGGCCTGATCTCGGCTCGCCGCAACCTCTGCCTCGTGGGTTCAAGTGATTCTCCTGCCTCAGCCTCCCAAGTAGCTGGGATTACAGGCATGCGCCGCCACACCCAGCTAATTTTGTATTTTTAGTAGAGACGGAGTTTCTCCATGTTGGTTAGTCTGGTCTCGAACTCCCAACCTCAGGTGATCCACCCGCCTTGGCCTCCCAAAGTGCTGGGATTACAGGTGGGAGCCACAGTGCCCTGCCTCTTCTCCAAACTTTTTCAGTCAACTGCATAGTCAGATGTTCTGTTAAAACAAGTATGATTAAAGACTGAAAGCTAGGAGGCCGGGTGCGGTGGCTCAATCCTGTAATCCCAGCACTTTGGGAAGCCAAGGCAGGCAGAAGATGAAGTCAAGAGTTCAAGACCAGCCTGAGCAACATGCTGAAACCCCATCTCTACTAAAAATACAAAAATTAGCCAAGCGTGGTGACACGTGCCTGTAATCATAGCTACTCAGGAGGCTGAGGAAAGAGAATTGCTTGAACCTGGGAGGCGGAGGTTGCAGTGAGCTTCCATCATGCCACTGCACTCCAGCCTGGGTGACAGAGTGATACTCGTCTAAAAAAAAAAAAAAAAAAAAAAAAGACAGAAAGCTCAAAATGGACACAAATGCCACTTTCCACTGCTCTCTCCTCCCCCACCCTACATTTTCAAGGTATTTAAGAGGTGGAAGTTGAAGCTACCAAATCCTTTGTTTTTTTTCTGGAAGTGAAGGAAAGGGTTATAGTTGGAAGAAAACTTGAGCTGAGAACCACAACCCATGCTGGCTTCTCTTACCTAGATTCCTACATCAGTCAGTGTTTCAGTTATTTTTTTGAATGTCTTCATGCCCCAATGGGATTGCAATGTTTTGAGATGGGGCCCCATGTAAGAGCTAGCACAGGGGCTAGCAATGCATTGACTTGTAAGTAAGTCAGGCAAGGTGACCTGAGGCAGGCTCTCTGCACCCTTCTTGTGCTGGAGTCCACTTGGTCATTGTCAACTGACCCTGACCTTCAGTTAACCGTGTCCTTTCCCACTCCCTGCTCATTTCTTCCAGTGGGAGTAGACCCACATTACACAAAAGGAGAACTCTGAAATAGCTGTCTCATTTTCTGTTGCTGTTAGTGTTACGGGTAAACCTTAATGTAATGCCATTTTAAAATGTTGGAATATACATTATCATGCTTTGTCTTTTTCAGATTATTGTGCAAGTAAATTTGCAGCCTTTGGGTTTGCTGAATCTATGTTTGTAGAAACATTTGTCCAAAAACAGAAGGGGATCAAAACCACGATTGTGTGCCCGTTTTTTATAAACACTGGAATGTTTGAAGGTTGTACTACAGGGTAAGTACGCCCTTTGATCGCAAAGAATCTACACTCTTAAAAATGATTTACTATCTCTTTTATTTTGTTCTGTTTTTTAAAGTCATTTAAAAGATATTTGTCTGCAATTCAGTATGATGTATAAATGGTTTTAGAATTCTGCCTTTCTTCATATGTGTTTGTGTGAAGGATACCAAGTTGAATGGGAATGGCTTATCAAGGCAGTATCTCTCTGGTCACCCCCAGGCCCTGGATCTGCTCCTCCATCTCCCAGGCTGTCCTCTCCACATCCTCTTCCTGCCATCCAATCTCATTCTGTCCCCTCTCTGATTCCAGAAGGACTAGAAATCATTGAAGAGACACTGTCTTGGTCATATAAAAGGCTGCTGCCATAATGGAATATCATACACTAGGTGGCTTAAACCACAAAAATGCCTTTCTCACAGTTCTAGAGGCTAGAAGTCCAAGATCAAGGTGCTGACAGGCTCTTCTCAGACAGGCACTAATCCCATTCATGAGGGCTCCACCCTGGTGACCTAGTTACACCTCCACAAAGACCCCACCTCCAAATGCCATCACATTGGGAGTTTAAGCTTTAACATGTGAGTTTCGTGGGGACCACAAATACCTGGTCCATAGCGGTCACAGATGCCCAATTCTGTATCTCATGGAGACTACAGGCAATGCGTTTTCAACAACTTACCTCACAAATGTTTGGAACATTTGTCTAATATGATTTCACATATATGTATATTGCATTATCAGGGTATTAATGAGAATCATCCTCTTTCATCTCATTTTAGTTATGTTACTACTTACTGCATTGACACATTGACAATAAGGAAGTAAATATAAAAACAGATGAAATTTGAAAAGGAAATAAATAAGTGATAACGTCTTACAACCTTTTATCCTTAATTTGAAAAGTTATCTTCATTAATTTGTGAATTTGGCCTTTGAGGTTGTAGTTTTAAATTGTCATTGTTTTATATCCTAGCTGTCCTACTCTGTTGCCAATTCTGGAACCAGAATATGCAGTTGGAAAAATCGTAGAAGCTATTCTACAAGAAAAAATGTACTTGTACATGCCAAAGTTGGTATACTTCATGATGTTTTTTAAAAGGTAATTACTTCAGTTTCTATTACTTCCCTAACACGCCGGTCTACCATTTACTCCAAATCCTACCAGGAGAAGCCACTTTAAAAATTCCTGATAAAGCTGGGCATGGTGGCTCACACCTGTAATCCCAGCACTCTGGGAGGCTGAGGTAGGGCAGATCACCTAGGTCAGGAGTTCGAGATCAGCCTGGCCAACATGGTGAAACCCCATCTCTACTAAAAATACAAAAATTAGCCAGATGTGGTGACGCACACCTGTAATCCCAGCTACCCGGGGAGCTGAGGCACAAAAATCACTTGAAACCTGGAGGCAGAGGTTACAGTGAGCTGAGATTGCACCACTGCATTTCAGTCTGGGTGGCAGGGTGAGACTCCCTAAAAAAAAAAAAAGAAAAAAAAAATTAAAATTGATTAATTTACGTCTACCAAGTCCTGTTGATACATCATTGGACCCATTGTAGAAACAATCCCAAATTTACATAGTTGTTGTGCCCCCCATGAGTCAAGAAAATGGGGTCCAACCCTTCCTGTTACCTTAGTATCGAATTATTCTGAAAAAGAAATGAATGTACTGACAGATGGAGAGATTGCAATGACTTTTTAGGAGAGATTTTCTTGTGCTCGTGATAAAATGATCCTATGGGAATAGATAGTATGTCCATGCCTCTTCAAGTACAGGGCTCCAAAGGCAAGGCCAGACAGTAAGCCAAGTGCTACAGGAATTTGTGGTTTGGGCACAATTGGCAATACATAATAAATGTTAGCTCTAGGTTGGTGAAAGAATTTGAGGGAAAAACCTTAAAAGCAAACCACCTCTTAAAAGCACAAGAAAGCTCACGTTTGTAATCCCAACACTGGGAGTCCAAGGTGGGAGGATTGCTTGAGGCCAGGAATTCGATACTAGCTGGGTAACACAGAAAACCTCATCTCTACAAAAATAATCAATAAATAAGCCAGGCATGGTGGTGCCTGCCTGTAGTCCCAGCTACTTGAGAGGCTGAGGCAGGAGAACTGCCTGAGCCCAGGAATTTAAGGGCTGGTGCACACTTGTAGTCCCAGCTTGTCAGGAGGCTGAGGCAGGAGGATTGCTTGAACCCAGGAGTTTAAGGCTGTGATGAGCTATGAGCAGACCACTGCACTCCATCTTGAGCAACAGAGTGAGACCCTGTCTCTTAAAAAACAAAAAAGTACAAAAAGCATTCTTATGCATCCTTCCCTGCTCTCCATAAAGTTTCAGTGCTGAAATTCATAGGCACTAAATGAACATTTGACCCAGTTAGAAGGATAGTCATGCTGAACTACGGATTCCTGCTGTCTGAATCCATTTTCTAAACTGCAATGGGTCATTTACTTACATATTTCCTCACCGGGCTTTCTGCTATGTGAGGAAGCACCTTGAGTTGAAATCTGTCTAGTTTGAACTTTCTGTCGTTGGTTGGTGCCGCTCCTCTAGCTCCCCTTGCAATTCCATCAGTCTTGCCAATAACAATTCCTCAGTTTTTGGAAAATAGATACTATACCTCACATCCACCACATGGCCAGCAGCCATTGCACCACCTGCGGACAGAAATTTCTTATCTCATTAACTAATTATATCTACGTTGTGCAATGAACCAAATGTCCTTCTTGCATCCTATCATTTTTCCAGGCTTCACCTGGCATGGGAGGAATCTGAATGCCTGACTGAGGCTGTGTGGGACAGAGCAAAGGGTCTTTGACAAGCAGTTTGAAATCCAGGCTTATGATGCCACTATTTACTAAGTCTGTGACTCTGAGCATGCCCTTTATTCTCCAGGCCTTGGCTTCCTCATTGACAATGTAGAGACAATGTTTGTCATAGCTTATAGATTTGTGTAAGGCACCGTTTATTGAAGGGGGGCATGCATTCACAACACGCTAAGTTCTTCTTGCCTAAAGCAGATTGTAGTGTAATCACGCCAATGGTAAGAAAATGGAACTAAATTTTTCTACTTCAAATAACTCTGGAGATTATGTTTCATTTTATGACATACTAGTTATGGGACACGTTTTGAGAGAGGGCTAGATAGCTGCTGAGTAAGCTAAAAGCAATGTGAAGAAGGTCAGTTAAGGCAATCACATCAAGCACTCCACCAAACATTCATTCAGCAAACGTTCAGAGAGTGCTGTGTGTGTCATGAATCACCACCATCCAAGGATCTGGGATCAGGGTTACAGCAAAGAACAAGACAGACAGTAGTCCCTCCTCATGTAGAAATCACTTCCCGTGGGGTGAGGGGACAGAAAAGAAACAAACAAGTAAAGTCGGCCGGGCGCGGTGGCTCAGCCTGTAATCCCAACACTTCGGGAGGCCGAGGTGGGCGGATCACGAGGTCAAGAGATCAGGACCATCCTGGCCAACATGGTGAAACCCTGTCTCTACTAAAAATACAAAAATTAGCTGGGTGTGGTGGCGCGTGCCTGTAGTCCCAGCTACGCGGGAGGCTGAGACAGGAGAATCGCTTGAACCCGGGAGGTGGAGGTTGCAGTGAGCCGAGATCGTGCCACTGCATTCCATCCAGCCTGGCAACAGAGTGAGACTCCATCTCAAAAAATAATAATAATAATAAGGTAAAAGAAAAGATCATAAGTGCTCTGAAGAAATACAAAGCAGAAAAAAGGGAAAAAGGAGATTCCACAGTGGGAGGTAGACTGGTGCAAGTTGAGATTCACTTTTTTTTAAAATTTTGCTTATTTAATATTTTTTGGAGACAGGGTCTTGCTCTGTCACCCAGGCTAGAGTGCAGTGGTGTGATCAGAGGCCACAGCAGCCTCAAACTCCCAGGCTCAAGCCATCCTCCCATCTCAGCCTCCCAAATAGCTGGGACTACAGTTGTGCACCATTATGTGAAGCCTATTTATTTTTATTTTTTTAGAAATGGGGTCTGGCTATGTTGTCCAGGCTGGTCTCAAATTTCTGGCCTCAAACAATCCTCCTACTTCAGCATCCCAAAGCGCTGGTATTAAAAGCATGAGCCACCACACCTAGGCGAGATTTAATTTTAAGAATGGTGTTTGGTGGGTGGAGAGGGATCTCATAAAGAAGGTAGTACTTGACCAGAGACTTGAAGCTGTGGAGGGGATGAAACACCTGGAGACCTTGGGGTGCCCAAACAGGGGGACAGGGATCATGGGGTCCTTTCCTTTACCCCCACCTTAGGATGAGTCTCAGGTTTCCTGTGCCTGCTTTGTTCCTTGCTCTGCAGTACTGAATGCTAAGGTCGGTGGAGCAGAGTGCTCTGTTGAAATGATGGTCATGCGCATATATGGCCTTGCAAGGGGGGATGGAGAAGATGAACAGTATTAGTTCCGTCTTGCCCAAGGTTTGAGGAGCTATTGCATCTCATCCTCACAGTAGTCCCCGAAAGGCAAATTGATGACCTCATTTTACAGTTGAGGAAACTGAGGCCTGCGAGCTGAGTCGGTTGCCTAAGCTGGCATAGCAAAGGACAGAGCTAGGATTCCAGCCAGGCTCCTCTGCCCACAAAGCCCATGCCTACACCCCAAGACTTCACTGCTTCCTCTGAGTCATTGTACAGTGGAGTGAGGCTTTGGAAATCGAAATGAGAAGTGAATTGAATAACTGAAGCAAAGCCACAGGACCTGTCAAGGCCCTGGGCAAGCATCCTCCGATATAGCGAGCAAGGCCCAGTGACCCTGAGGCCGGTAGCACTCAGGCAGAATAGTGTCTGCGTGAGTGAATGATTTCATCTGCAGCAAGAAGTGACACTGCTTTTCGGCAGAGCTGGTAAAGATGCTGCCATGAATGATAACCGAGAACGTTTATTCTCGTGTTCTCTTTAGCTTTTTGCCCCTCAAGACAGGACTGCTTATAGCTGACTATTTGGGCATCCTTCATGCAATGGACGGCTTCATTGACCAAAAGAAGAAGCTCTAAAGACCAACTCTATGGCTGATGTCATCTGACACACAATGTTACATTATACGCACTTCAGTGAAGAAACATATTTTTGTCTGACGGTGGAATGTATCTGGAGACCACAGGTCCCATTCCTATTCTGTTACCTGGACTAGAATTTTCAACCAATGCGTTTGAAAACCATGTTACTATCACCTTTTTGGTTGAGTTTTGGTTTTTTTCTTTTTCTATTTTTTTTTTTTTTTCCAAAAATGAAGACAGCCCATTTTTGTCATTTCCATTTATACAGATGTAAGAAAGTAATATGTCTTGTCCATGAGCTGCCCTGAGCTTTGGTAGTTGGGAGGTGGTTCGAATGGAGCCCGTGGCTGTGGTTGACCTGCCTTAGGGAGCAGGGCTGAGGCGCAAAGAAGACACCTGGGTATCTAGCTGGAACAGCCTCCCTGCCTAGGACACACAGCTCTGAATTCCCACCCCTTTGCTCTCCGCTCTGGCCTTTTTGAACCTGTAGCCACCTAATGTAGAAAAGGCCTGCCCCCCAACCCCTTCTTTCCAAAACAGCTACACAAATGCTTACTTCTGAATGCACTGGATACTCAGACCAAGTGCCAGTCTGGCTAAAGTCCCATCAAGCACCATTGTGGCCGAGAGCCTTATTGGGCATTGCCTGAACGCCCCTCACAGGCCGCGATCCTAGACCAAGCTCTTAAATAGAATCACTTTTGTTTCCTAGAAGAGATCCAAGAATGGTTGCTTCTTACTTTGAAGATGAAATTCTAGTATGTTAGGCTTTTTGCTCCCTGTTGATCCAAAAAATATATTCATGCAATTAATTTTAAGTGTTTAACTTTGTACTTCAAGTTGGGATTTAGGTGGAGGCATTTTTCTGCAGAATGGGCAATTTTATGCATTTATATTCATCAGTGCTGCCCTCACTTCGGATCTATTGTATTCTTACAGTTTAATCAACTGGCAAAGTGCTTTCATGCTTTGGAGATTAACTATAAAAGCAAGATTAAGAAAAATATGTTAATTACCATATCCCTGGAACTCCTTCCCAGGCTGGCAGGGGCAGCCTTGCAAGAGAAACAGCAGCCTTTGTCTCTTCCCTCTTGTGGGGGGCAAGGAAGGGCTGAGCAGTACCTTGGGAGACCTGTTAAGAGTCTTTAACGAACTGAGAGTTTGACTATCTTGGGGGTAAATGCTGTCATTGGGGCAGCAGTCCCAGGGATTATGAAGTCTAGATTTGTCTTGAGTCACCTGCACGAACCTGACAGTCCTGTCCTATATTTTCTTTCCATCCAGAAAGCCTTTTAAAGAAAACAAACTTGTTTTATGATAATAGTGTAACAATCATAGCTAACATTTCCTGTGCCTGGCAGCATTGCACAAATACCAAATTAAGTATTTGACAAATATTGTTTCATTAAACAAGACTGTTGTTGATCGTTACTCAAAGAATGATGAAGGTGTTTGGTGTATGCCAAAGAATAAAGGCGTTTTATTTCACAGAGTGGCATCTTACTCAACTGTAGATGTGTACTGAGAGGATCAAAAGCCATCTTCGACTAACCCACTGATGTTCCAAATCCTTGGTTAACAAGGTTAATTAAGAAAGCACAATATTGCTCAATATTACAATTCCAGAAGCATATCTTCTAGGTTCCTGTCTATTTAGTTGAAGAATAAAGCTCAGACTCTTTGGGGATTCAGTCCAGGAGCACTGTAGGATCCCCCGTATCATAGCAGCATTAATAGCAACTATTTCTAATTGGAATGCATCTTGGCTGGACTGCGACAAAGGCCTGAAATTCAACTTCGGTTTTACAATACCCATAAAATTGTCTAAACAAATTCAGATTTACCTGAGACGCTTCTATGAGAAGAGACCACATGTAAATTAGAGGATTGTAGAGGACACCGAATAACAAGGTGATTTGATGCCCTGGGGAGTGAGGAGTGCTCTCGGCATGTGTGTCACACCTGTTTCCATCCGATATTTAGTCCTAATGAAGCCATGACCAAGAGCCCAACACCTAAGCAAGCCTGAGGAAATGGAGGACTACAGGGTCAGGGCAGTGCCCCATGCCCGGGCATTCTGTGCTGCAGGAGGATCTTCCAGCATCTTGAACTCACCGAGCTGCTCCAAAGCAAAGAAAAATTCTTGCTGCAAGGAGGAGTTTAGTTGGGTTAAAATGCATGCCACGCACTGCGTGCGTGTGTGTGTGTGTGTGTGTGTGTGTGTGTGTGTGTGTGGTTTTACATTGTGATGCTGTCTTAGTCCATTGGGACCACCATAACAAAATGCCACAGATTGGGTACTTTAAACAACAGAAATTTATCTCTCAGAATTCTGGAGGCTGGGAGTCCAAGATCAGGTTGCCAGCTGATTTATTTTCTGGTGAGGGCTCTCTTGCTGGCTTGTGGACAGACAACTTCCTGACGTGTCCTCACAGAGCCTTTCCTTGGTGTGTGTGGAGAGAGAAAGATGGACCTATTTCTTCTTCTTTTAAGGACACTGGCTCCATCCTAAGGGTTCTGCTCTCTTGACCTCATCTAACCCTAACTACCTCCCAAAGTCCCATATCATTGAAGTCCCAGGTGCATTTTGGGGGAACACAGGCATGCAGTCCATGACAGATGCGAAGATAGAAAAAGAAAGCAGACCACAAATGACATGTACGCTCCTCCGAGTCCTCACGCTGAGATGATCACAGCTCATCAGATGAAATCGCTTAGAATCTTGGAGGCAGAGTGAATTGAGAATGCCTAAAAGAAACCCATTCCAACCTCCAAGAGTCAGCACTGGAGAATGACAGGACTGAGAGTCTGGGCCGCCAAACAAAAACTTGTGAAGCCAGACGCACCACGCAGAGCCGCTCTGGGAAGAGTATGTCTGGTACTAGGCACCCTCAACATTCCAGGCTCGTGAACCACGCTGGGCTCATCCACGTTTCCTCAGCTCACGTCCCTGCCAGCCTGCTGAGTGATTTCTCTTTGTTGTCAGTGACCAAGCTTCCACTGGGACATGGAGGAGGGCCTCTGGTCTGGATTGTTTTTTTTTTTTTTTTTCCTAATAACATTGCTACCATATTGGAAACCAAACCAACAGCAAATGCATCAGCCATGGGAGCTCATCCCCCGCGGAGGCTGCCTGTGGGGTGCTGACGGAGAAGGCACTGCTGTCCATGCCCATACAGTGTTTGTGCACTGAATATCCCTCCTGGGCATCAGCACAACTGAGCGGCAGGATGCAGCTGGCATCACCTCAGTGCCGTCATGACTGCTTCAGTGCCTAGGACTTCGTTGGCACACCTCCTGTTTGTCTCTACCACTGGATTCTCCAGGGGCTAGCACTGGAATCGCAGCAGCACTCCATACAACGCCAGATTTTGTGTGTCTGCCTAGTTCCCTCCCCCCTTGCTCCATCCTACATTTCCTTTCCACTTAGAAACGATTTTTTTAAAAAAAAAAATACTTGTTTTATGATAATATTATAACAATCACAGCTAATATGTACCGTGCCATTGTGGTCATTCAGACCCTTCTCAAGCCCTCCAGAACACCGGCAGCTGCCCTTCTAAGGGATCAGTCTCTTCTACCTCACCAATAAAACTGAAGCTTAAAAAAAAAAAAACCCTCAGATCCCCAAACCAGTACCTTCAAAGGTGTTGATTTCTACCTGCTCCTTCTTTTTCCCAGCCTCAGAGGAAGCAGGGAGCCTGTGCAAGGCCGACGGTGTGGCCAGCGCCCTCCCCTCGGTGCCTTCCAGGGCTTCAACGGAGGTTTCCTCTCTCACATTTCAACCTCTACACGAAGAGCTGCTCCCTGTGTCCTATAAACACATAGAGACTAAGTGATACTTAAAAATAAAAATAAATAGCCTTTACAAAAACCTTTATCCCACTACGACAGCAACTCTTTCTCCTCTTTATTACTGATAACATTTAACATGCAGCCCAGGGCCAGGAGCAGGGCTCACGCATGTAATCCCAGCTCTTTGGGAGGCCAAAGCAGGAGGATCTCTTGAGCCCAGGCATTCGAGACCAGCCTGGGCAACATAGCAAGACCCTGTGTCTACAAAAACATTTAAAGATTAGCCAGATGTGATGGTGCACACTTGTAGTCCCGGTTACTCAGGAGGCTAAGGTAGGAGGACTGCAGGAGCCCAAAAGTTCAAGGCTGCAGTGAGCTATGATGACATCACTGCACCCCAAGCTGGGTAACAGAGTGAGACCTTGCCTCTAAAAAAATAAATAAAAAATAAATAAAATGCAGCCCCAGGTAATTTGTCCATCTCTTTGATTCACATTGGCTCCTGAACCATCCAGCTTTCACGTCCACCATGTCGTGGTGATTTTTATGAAAAGATCCCCAGGGATTTCATTCCTCATCAGATTTTATTTCTCATAACGAACATTATTAATCGCTCAACCAGGTGGTCCTGGTGACACCTCTCTTCTGCTGCTCACGTCTTAAATTGTTTGCGTTCTTCAAGATTCTAACCTTGGATTTCTCTCACTTTGTAGATTCTGTCTGAGGAGTCTTAACCATGCCCATTGCTCCTACATACCATCCAAGCCAGAAACTCAGTTGTAATGCTCTACTTTGACTTTATCTGTCACCTCCTCATCCATTTAGTAACTAAATCCAATCTGCGCTACCTCTTGACCTCATTAGCATGGTTTCCTCACCGTCTCCACTGCTTTTGCCTTAGCTCAGGCTCTCACAGTCAGCTCCCTGCTGGGGCGATAGTTTCCTGGCCACTCTTTCTGCATCAGGCTTGCTTACGCTGTCAGCAATGATTTTGTTCAGCAAGGGTAACTGAAAACCCCAGTGCAATAAGGGATTGAAGAACGCAGAAGTGTATTTCTTCTTGATGTTTAAAAGCCTTCGTGTAGCCACTGAAGGCTGGTAGGGTGCTGCGCAGAGTCAGAGACCCAGCTCCTTCTGTGCATTTGCTCAGCTATGCAGGCTCACGTCCTGAACATCACTGACAAGTATGGTCTACAGTGACCACTAAAACCTCAGCCATTACTCTCACATTCTAGCCCACAAGAATCCAGAGGGCAGAAGGCACCCCTGCACCCTTTCAGGACCATCCGTGGGCATTGCATGCCCCAAAACACCACATCCTATTGGTCAGAATTCATCATATGACTAAAGCAGCCTACAAAGGATGCTGAGAAATAAGGTCTTTATTTTGCATCACCCTGAGCCACCCAAACACCAGGGGTCCTATTACTGTGAGAAAAGATAAGATCCAGGTGTTGGATGTTAACTTACAGTTCCTGCCACAGTCTTCCCCATACATTTATGTGTTCTATTCTAATCAGATAGTACCCACAGACCCTTTCCACCTTAAACATATGCTCAGTCACTGCGGGTCACCAGAAGTCCAGAACCCATGGCGCTAAGCCGCACCCCCCCCCGTCAGATCCTAATAGGGCTCCCCGTGGCTCAATAATCAAGAAGAGACAAGGTGAGTGATTCACCCCCATCTTACTCTAGCCGGTGGTGCATGAAAAGCAGGACAGCCATGATTAGAGTCAGAAATGAGAAGGAAAGGAGAGGGGAGGAGAAGGAAAAAGGGAAAGAGGAGGAGCGGGTGAAAAAAAAGAAAAGAGAATAGGAGGGGAAGGAAAAGGGGAGGGGAGGAGAGGGGAGGGGAGGGGAGGGGAGGGGAGGGGAGGGGAGGGGAGGGGGAAGGGGAGGGGGAGGGAAAGGCAAAGGAAGGGAGGGGGGCGGGAGTGGAGCTGGGGGAAGCCAAGAGACTTTCCATTCCAAACCAGAAAGGGGGCAGAAGAAACACAGTGATGGTCCACAGTGACAGGATTTTGCTGGGCAGGAATCACAAGTGCTTCCTTTCTCAGGCAACCCTGCCTGCTTCTACTCTGTGAAATGCCATCTCGTTCACTGCCCTCCATGAACCTACAGGGTTCTTTGTGGTTTAACATAGTCCCCACAGCTGAGGCGAGCTTCTCGGACCATATTCTTTCTCAAGGCTGCACGGATTGCCTAGAGGGAGGAGGAATTGCAGCCTGTGTCGAGGTTGTCTTCATGTTGCAATACAATTGCCTCCAGTAACTCGATAGGCTTCTTGTGTGTTTATTTCATCGCCCTCATTGGCCACTGAAACCACTGCCACGCATCTTGCCTGGATGAAGCTTTAAGCCTGAAAGCTGCTGTGTAAGTGGCACCAGCGCTCTGCCCGTGCCTGCCTCTGTCTCCGTTTGGTGGATACGGTGGGAAGGATTTCGGGGAAAGGCCACACCCATGGTGTGATGTTTGTTGCTGGCTGGATCTCAGGTCTGGCAGTCAATCCTTAATGGAAGGTGCTGCAGAAAGGCTTAGGGCCACAGTATTTCTTCCCCTAAGGCCACTGTCTGGGATCTAAGCTTCTGAGGACTTTCCATGAGGCACAGAGATTGCTGACGTTTCAACCCTCCAAGGCTCCAAATTGTCACCCTCTCAGGCAACTCAGCTTGCAGGTAGAGAGTGCGGGGTCTCC